TGCATACAGAGCTTCCATCATCATAAACTAGGTTAGCATATATAAGTGGTTTTATTCTTTCTCTATCATCATGCATTGTAATGAAAGCAACTGCTGTGTAGTTTGGATCTCTTGTGTCAAAATATGCCATACGTCTTACCTGTAAAATACAACAGAAATTACTGAGCAATGTATAGTAGAATCTTAAAAATGACTCATTAAATTATCACATTTCGTTAATGATGGCTGCAATAGCTTTTTTTTAATTTTAAATGCTCACTATAGTTCTAGATGTGACTCTGGTCCATAAGTGATCCATTGACTTTGGATGATAATGGAAGGTATCCTATAAAAAGAGGAGATTAGATGAACTACTGGTATACTAGGTGCATACAACAGAGATTGTGGTCGAGCTTTATAAAGTTGGGCATCTGCTGCTAGGCAATAATAAAAATTTGTCACCTACACTTGGAATACCGAAACCATTGTTGAGGACTTAGGAATAGACAAACATTATTATTTGTAGCATAATTATAAACTGCAAGGCTGTTATTACTAAAAACATATTTATATAAAACAAGCAAAAATTTGGTATCAAATAAAAGGAAATTCATTACTTTAGGAAGCCATTATGATTATTGGTTCACAAAATGTCAAACTCTTCCATGGATTCCATTGTAGTACAACATGATATAAGGACTTTACTAGTCTCGTCCCCCGCCCCACGAGACTAGGACTTTACATGTATCTAATAGATACTTCACTTAAACACAATATGGTACAAAGCCACATTAATACCCACTTTCATGCACCAAAACTGGGTCATTGACCCTTCCAATTGCCTAAATGCTGTCATGACTGAGTACACTGTATACTATTATATGCCCTTTACTTTAACTCACCTTTTCCTCAGTAATTATTGGATGAAGAGAAGTCCTAAGAAAAGAAGTAGTCATAAAGGTGAGGCCATTCTTAGGAATATCAAAGAATGTGGGTGAAATCACACTTAGTTGCCCCTGAACATGACTGCATGAAAAGTAACAAAAAGGCAGTAAGCTTAAGCCCCAAATAAATCCAATAAGCAATATCTTTATCAGCCTTGACCGAGGACATATCATATTGGGTATGGTAGCTAGCTCCCTGTGATGATGTCACTTCCTCTACATGCTCTACCTTCATAAAAAATGGAGGATTCTCTGTCTTTTCACTTTAGCAGCAGTTATCTCACTAATAATACCTGCAATTGACTCAAAAACTTTAACTCATCCAGAAAAAAGAATGCAATTTTCTTTTTTTAATCATTGCAGTAAAATGTTCTTGAGTTGTAACTGGTCTCAGACTTCTTCACCTATTACACTTCACAGAAACTAGTAATCTGCTAGTCTCGTGCTAATAATCTGCATACACTTAAGAGCAAGAATAAGATCTGCACTATTTTCAAAAATTCAATATCTTTGCCTTTGCTAGAAAAGTGTGGTTTAGCTATCTGAGACAGAGAACAAGCTTTTGTTAGTATATTTATTAGTTTTTTTTTAACTGGATACACTGACATTTTTGAGTCAATTGCAAGTATTATTAGTGAGCTAACTGCTGCTAAAGTGAAAAGAGAGAGAATCATCCATTTTATTTATGAAGGTAGAGGAAGTGACATCATCACGATGCATGATGATAGAATAATCCACCCACTTCCTAGAAGCACATTTAATAAGCAGGAGGAGCTGAAAACAGGGAAAGTGAAAATGTTAGGATTCTTTAATCGAATCATAGAATGGTTTAAGAGCCTTTTCTGGAAGGAAGAGATGGAGCTCACCCTGGTTGGCTTGCAAAACTCTGGAAAAACCACATTCGTCAACGTTATTGCTGTAAGAATGATTCTAAATAACGCCCCACCCTGTACATGATATCCCCTTTTTTAAATAAAGAGCGGCCAATTCAATGAGGACATGATACCAACAGTTGGATTCAATATGAGGAAAGTAACGAAAGGCAACGTTAGTATTAAAGTGAGCAAACAGCATCTACCATGACTGCATTATTACTTCTTTTTAGCTTTGGGATATAGGTGGTCAGCCAAGATTCCGAAGCATGTGGGAAAGATACTGCAGAGGCGTAACTGCTATAGTGTAAGTATGCATCAGGGTTTCTTGCAGGATGTTAGCATATGTGCTCAATTTATTATCAGTGAATTTTTAAAGTTGCTCAAAAACTTGGCCAAACCCTGTTTACTATAGCTTAAGGTTTTTGGCTGAATTTTGGCAAAAATGACTAGGAAAGAGTTCTCCATTTTATAATTTTTTTTCTGATACATATGCATGTTTATAAGTTGTGTAGCAAGTTTGAGCTGATTCCGATCAAAATTGGATTTTTAATGAATTTTTAAAGTTGCTCCAAAATTAGATAAAAGTCCCTGTACTATAGTACAGGGTCTCGGGCCAAATTTTGGCGAAAATGACTAGGAGAGAATTTTTCATTTTAATTACATTTCTCGATGCATATACATGTACTTATGTTGTGTAGAAAGTTTGAGCTGATTCCGATCAAAATTGGATTTTTTATGAATTTTTAAAGTTGTTCCAAAATTGGATAAAAGTCCCTGTACTATAGTACAGGGTCTCGGGCCAAATTTTGGCGAAAATGACTAGGAGAGAATTTTTCATTTTTATTACATTTCTCGATGCATATACATGTACTTATGTTGTGTAGAAAGTTTGAGCTGATTCCGATCAAAATTGGATTTTTTGAGTTACTCAAAAAAATCAGGCCAAAACTTTAGCATGTCTTGCGGGAAACCCTGAGCCTGGTCTGCATGCATTGGCTCTTGCGGCTGGGAGCAGTTTTTACTTTTTATTCTCTTCTCACAGTTATATGGTGGATGCAGCCGATCTTGAGAAAATCGAGTCTTCCAAAACAGAGCTACAACTTTTATTGGACAAGCCGCAATTGACTGGAATACCAGTATGTTGTGTTTTATGTTTCCCTCTCATCTTAACCCACATCTGTCTCTTCATCTGTCTCTTATCTAGGTTCTTGTGCTTGGTAATAAAGTGGACCTGCCTAATGCACTGAGAGAGAGAGAACTAATAGAGCGAATGTAAGAACCTTGTCAATTCATGTTGGTTGTAACTTGCAAGTATTTTATTAAATATTATTGTTGTTTCTTTTCGTATATCACAGGGGTCTCAGTGATATTAAGGACAGAGAGATATGTTGTTACTCTATATCTTGCAAGGAAAGGGAAAATATTGGTGGGTGAATTTTACGATGAGAAGTATCATCATTATAATTGTTATGATTATTATCTGTAGACATCACTTTACAATGGCTGATCCAGCAAGCCAAGAATCAAAAGCCTTGATTATATACCTGGTTCCGACAAATGAAGACTAAGAGAGCTAATAATTATGTGTTTTGAGGCTGCTGTTCTGTGTGTATTTTGTAATAAAAAATATTATGTTTATCTTTTATTATTATTAAAAATGTAAAAAAAAATTAAAAAAATAAGTAGATAATTTCCCAGTAATATCCCAAAAATATATTTGTTTTACGGAGCCAGGTGTCAAAAATGGCCTCCACTCGCGAGTTCGATTTTGTCTTGTTTGGTGCGACTGGGTTTACTGGAAAATACGTAGCAGAGGAGCTGGATAGGATTCAGAAGGAAGGGAAGCGTTCCTTCAAATGGGCAGCTGCTGGAAGAAATGAAGAAAGAGTCAAGGAAGCTTTAGAAGGTGAAATGAAATCCTCACGATGGAATTAATTAATGTTGCACTCTTTGTATTATAACATTAAAATTCAATTTTTGCTCATTAAAATAGGCCTTGGTATTGTGGGCGTGACTACGATATCAGCTAACATTAATGACGAGGAGTCCTTGAAAGAGATGTGTGGGCGTTGCAGTGTTCTACTGGACGTAGTTGGCCCTTACGTACTTTATGGTGAAGCAGTTGTCAAAGCATGTATCAACCAGGGGACCGATTACATTGATATCACTGGAGAAACATACGTAAGCATTTATTTAATTATCAAATTATAATTTTTAAAAATCTTATATTAGTTTATTTATTGATAATTTTTTATCAGTACATAGAGTCCATGGTTGATAAGTATGATGCTTTAGCGAAGGAGAAAGGAGTTTATTTGGTTAACTGCTGTGGGTTTGATGTCATCCCTAATGACATTGGATCGCTTGTACTTCAAAAAGGATTCAATGGTACGGGGACCTATAATTATCACGTTTTATTTTAGTCATTATCTTTGTTAGGTCAACTGGCATACATTGAAAGCTATGTCTCTACTAATGTAAAATAACAAATATTCAGTATTATTATTATTTATTATTATTATTATTATTATTATTATTATTATTATTATTATTATTTATTTATTATTATTATCATTACTATTATTATTATTATCATTATCATTATTATTATTATTATCATTATCATTATTATTATTATTATTATTTATTATTATTATTATTTATTTATTATTATTTTTAGGGTAAAGGGCTTAATACCGGTACATGGGAATCGGCCATACGTAGCATCAGAAGTTACAAGAAACTTGCCGAACTTCGTAAGAAAGCGTCCTCAAGCCGTCCTCCTCTCCCTCTGGTGAAGATGCCAAAGAGACGAACCATTTTCTTCTCTGACGTGACTCAAAGCTGGTGCGGCCCGTTCCCTGGGGCAGACAGAGCTTGCGTGAGTTCAGGATATACTTAGTATCTCAATAATCTTATCATTCTCTTCTTTATAACTTCAGATGCTGCGCAGTGCTGGGTACAGGCATAAGACTGATGGCTTACCAATGGTACTGATAATAATAGTAATAGTTTTTTTATTTTTCTTATTTTAAAGTTTCAAGTGAAGACGTACGCTAGTATTGGTAGCCTGTGGAAGACGTTGATGCTAATAATTGGATTTATGATCATAATACCTATGTCACTGACTGGGTTTGGTGCTAAACTACTGCTAAAGGTTTGTTAAAGATATAATTTTATTCAGGATTTCCCACAAGGCATACTAAATGAGCTGACAAGCACTACAATACAGTACATGGCATTTGGAAGAACTTTAAAAATTCGTAAAAAATCCAAATTTGATCGGAATCAGTTCAAACTTGATATACAACATTAGAACATGTATATGTATCAGGAAAAATTATAAAAATGATAAATTCTCTCCTAGTCATTTTTGCCAAAATTTGGCTTGAGACCATGTACTATAGTACAGGGATTTTGGCCCGATTTTTGAGTAACTTTAAAAATTCATAAAAAATCTAAATTTGATCGGAATCAGTTCAAACTTGATATACAACATTAGAACATGTATATGTATCAGGAAAAATTTTGAAAATAGAAAATTCTCTCCTAGTGATTTTTGGCAAAATTTGGCCCGAGACCATGTACTATAGTACAGGGACTTTGACTCAATTTTTGAGCAACTTTAAAAATTTGTAAAAAATCCAAATTTGATTGGAATTAGTTCAAACTTGATATACAGCATTAGAACATGTATATATATCAGGAAAAGTTATAAAAATGATAAATTCTATCATTATGATTTATGTCAAAATACCCTGTACTACAGGGTCTTTGGCTCAATTTTTGAGCAGCTTGACAATCCACTGCATGAGCCAAAATCTTGTGGAAATCATCTCATTAACTCTTGAAATTCCTTTCCATAGTATCCCGGTTTATTTTCAGCAGGACTTGCTCGTAAAGGTGGTCCCAGTCGCAGCGAAGTAATCCACCTCTTATTACTGCCCTATGCTTTCATTGTTCCTACAGGTGGAGAAGGGAACATTCACAGTTGTATTGCAGGGATCTGGCTACAGTCCTGATAATGAAGAGAAGTGAGTTTGTATTTCATTTCCTATATAATAACTCATCCTTTTCCTACTCAGGGTAAAGCCTGATGCATTCCTCAGGGTTAGGGTAAGAGGTGCTGGTAAGCAAACAAAAAGTGTTGACATTAATCACTTTCATGTACTCCACCTTTCTCCTAGAGCCTGGCTATATAGCAACGTCTGCCATGATGGTCCAATCTGGCTTCTGTCTACTCAATGAAAGAAGTAAACTGCCAAAAGAGTAAGTTTTACATGTACATACACATGTACTTGCATCATTAGTTTGATGGTGTGTGTTTCTGATAGAAAGAGCTAAAAATGTTTTTATTCTTATTTCAATCAGTGGCGGTTTCTATACACCTGGCGCAGCTTTTGGCAAGACTGACATTGTTCAGAACCTGGAACAGACTGGGAAATTGAAATTTACTATTGAACAAGTCTAGAAGAATTCTTGCACTCTTGTATGTTTATGTAGTATTGTGTTTTCCCCACTCTCTCTTGTTGATGTCATTTTTGAATTGTTTGATTACCTTCAATATTCAAAATAAATCATGCAACTCATCCTTGTAAAGGGAATTTCATTCAAGTGGGAAAGGGGGAATTTAATGTAACAATAATTATTATTATTTCAAATATTTTATAATTACTCTAAATCTATTAAAAATTAAAAATATTATTGCAATTCCTGCTAGTCTTTCCCCCATTGTGTCATCTTGTCACGTATTATTTGGGTGCTAAGGTCCCAGAGTGCAGCTGCTGTCCCGTGGCTCTGTGCCTCACCCGATGGCTCTGCAACAGAGCACCTGTACATATACAACCCGCTCACTCCCTCCATCACTGGGTGAGCTCCACAGAACACTATACCTGATGCAGCTTGAGCCTAAGGACACATAACAAAGGGAGAGCAAAAGGTAAAACCAGATACGTGTTGTATTTCTGGTGTAAAATCCTCAACATTTTTCTTGTTCACTCAATCTAATACTTGTGGTATGTTGATGGCTTACCACTGAACTGGTGAAAGGTCTTGCTGTTATTCTAAGCAGCTTGTACATGCAGTTGGTCCTTCTCAGTAGTCCAGTGGGGAGGAAGTTTCCAGGGTGGACTGCATTGGTGCATATCAGTGGGTGCCGTCTGTACAGCTCTTGCATCAGGAGTATGCAGCATAGCTTTGATGCACCGTATGCAGCAAAATAATTATAATTCTCTCTATTGGGATTCTTGAGATACTGGAGCTCCAGTTTTGTTGATTTTGGCGAGGGATACCTGTTGAAATACAGCAACATTAACATATACCCTCTTTCCTTCCAACCCACCAGTGTGATTCAGATGATACAATGACAATGCGTGGGAGTGTCGACTTCGAAAGTATGTCCTTCAATAGATTAATGAGATAAAAATGTCCCAAATAATTGACGGCGAAATGAGACTCCAGTCCATCCTCGGTCAGTGTGAAACTTGGCTCGAGAAGACCGGCGTTACACACCAGTATATCGAGTGACAGACCGGAGGCAATAAAAAACTCTGAAAATAATCGAACACTTCTCAGCGAGGCCAAGTCTAAGTCACGATGCTCTACTTTGGCCCTAGGCTGTATGATGTAAGGAGAAGGATAGCTTTATATATAAAGGATACGTACGTGGGATTTTTGTATCAAGTTGACAGCAGTAGCTCCTCTCCCTCTGTCACGACATGCTAATATAACGTGAGCACCGTGAGATGCTAAACTCCGTGCTGTCTCATAGCCTATTAATAATAATAACACACAAATAAATAAATAAATAAATACTAGTAATAACAATAACAATAACAATAATAAACTGCACAGGCTAGGACTGCCCCGTGGTGAAAATATTTTAAATTCCAGTAATGTCAGCATAATTAGAGTGTAAGGGAATTTTGAAAGTTGACACATTATACAAAACAAAAAAACAACAATTATGAACACTACTGGGATGAGATGCTAGTGATATAGCACAGCTTACAATGTAAATCTATTCATGTATTATTATTATTATTCAATTTAACATCATCCTTCACTATTCCGTATGATTGTTAATATGATTAGGTGGTAGACATTGATACTGAATCAAGGTCACGCTGTCCTTTATAAAATAAGTTAACACTTAATAGTAAAGAGACTGAGTCCTAATCTAATTGAACTGGTAAACACAGACATCCTTAGCCTTAAGGCTTCACACTAGTGGTCTCCCCCTGATTCTTTTTTTATAAAAACTAAGTGAATTCAATTAGGGATCAAAGGTTGAGACAGTGCAATTACTGCAACAGAAAATCAAAGTTGATACAACAAACAAAGAGAAGATGGTCTTGGACAGAGATTAGCAGTACAAACAGAAAACACTTCCTTCGATAATTATGACACTTCAAACCTAACCTCAGACCAACAGGCAATGCAATCTGGGGTATTATTATGTGCTATAAATAGATTTAAACTAATTTAATATAATGTAGGAGGTTTAATTATCATCAATATAATGATATCATTGACCATACCCAGTCCAGAGTTAGCTCCGGTTACAATGGCAACCTTTCCCTGTAGTGAAATATCTTTTAAAACATCATCAGCAGTAGAGTAAGGTTTCAGACGATGCTGGAGTGGATTAAATGAGCGAATCCCATACTCTTCGGGAAAATCAAACGCTCTCCTATTGAGTAGGCGTGGATCGACTTTGGAACACACGCCCTCTAAATGACTATAATGATAATAATAATAATATTAATATAATAATTATTATTATTAATGGTAACTTACTCGACAAATACAACAGCATCATCTTCATCTTTAAACAGCTGCCAGCCATATGAGAGATCTAATTGATTAATTATAAATTACAATAGCATATGTACATTACATTCAGCGTTTCCCTAAGAATTTTGGTATAGTGCTCATGCAGCTTCTTGTCAATGGATTGCCAAATTGCTCAAAAATTGGGCCAAAGTCCGACTTTGGCTGAATTTTGTCAAAAATGAAAAGTTGAGGATTCTCCATTTTTATATTTTTTTCTAATGCATATACATGTTCTTATGTTGTATAACAAATTTGAGCTGATTCCAATCAAAATTGGATTTTTCTGAATTTTTAAATTTGTTCCAAGTGTTAGCCCAATTAGTTCACTGTACATAGCATGGGAAACCCTCCTTACGCAATCCCCCATTCCTTCTGCTTACGTGATTGAACTCTGTATTTCATTTTAGTGACTGGGTGTGACCAATGGGTTTCTCTCTCATTGTGACTGCAATCAAAATGAATGGATTTACAATGAATTTAGCTCAGAATAATAATGAAATTCCCTACTCACTCTATGAAAAATACTCGTCCTTCTGAAGTAACTCTACCCTCCCATCCAGCTGGGAGACTAGTAATGTCTTCTCCAGGGCCATGGCCCCAATAAGGGAGTGACTCAAGTGGGTCGGGATATGGCGGAGAACGTACATCAGCCTCCTCAGACGACGCCATTTTGGAATTATCTGCGCATGCGCAAAACTTTTACAGACACACCCTCTTTTGGCGGGTGCCAATATTGTCACGTGATGTGGGTTTGGCTGTTTATCTGCAATATCTGCAATTAATTCCTAGATCAGCATTTGCCAGGTCATCTTGCCTCTATTTTCTCATTATTCTGTACTTCTAACACATTTCTAACTGAGGAGGACCTCTCCCAGACACTCTCCTTTCAAGCAAACCCTCTATCTCTTCTCACAAGTCTTCGAACTCCTTCTCTGGAGACGTCATTCACACTTTCACACAGTTGCCTAGGTTACTCTAACTCCCTCTCTCTCTCTCTTCTCGGTTGGACCTTGAGGAGATCAAACCCAAACCAGTGCTTTTACACAAGTCCTTTTCTGTCTTTATGGCTGTTCAGAACCTCACTTATCAGACTCATTTTAATTCAAGCAGCAAGAAGCCACAAATCACACATTTTTTCATTTTTTGCTCCTCCCAGTTTTCTCCCCCTTCCTTCTCGCTTTTGAATTGAACGTTTGTCTACAGAGACGTCAAAATTTAACAATGAAATTGTTGGAAAATGCAAAGTTGGATGGGATCAGTACTGCATTAAGTATAGATACTGGTCACTGTCGCATCAGTGGAAGGTAAGATTAATAATTATTTTATATGATCAGTACATCCTGCACTATAATCGACATGCATTGGGTAAATGATGGACCTCTATAATAAATTATTACGCAACTCGAAATATTGATTAATGTATTATTGATTGTAGTTCAATGAAGTGGTTAATGCTTTTTGCTATTCTTATGATGAAGAGTATGTGATAATGCAAAACTGCCCAAAGTGCAGATATAGTATAATATTTCTAGCTACGTGTATGAGATAATGTGAACGTAATGTGTGAATTACAACTTCAATGGGTAGCTTATATTCACTTTTTCACTCACTCCTTCATTCATTTGATTCACATGATTCATTATTATGATGTTTCCATTGATAACATGATCATCATGCATCATTGACTTACTCATTCCACATCAAAGGTCAAACTACTTAGAGTATGATTTAACATTGTACTCCTTATCCTTTAGCCTTTCACTAAATTTCCTATCCGCCCGCTCACTCATTAATAATTAAGCATTATATGACCTCCACCCTCTTCTTGTTTGTTTTTCATTTTCACTGATAATATTATATTCCAGACCCCTTATCATTCCAAATCCAGACCCAGTGTCAGGGGTTCGGGGAATATTGGGCTATTGTTGTTTTTGTTACGTGCATTTTCATATTCATTACCAAGTGAGGGTCTGACATGAATATGCTTATACCATTGACCGTGAATACTCTTACATTGTAGATTGTATTGTTAGGCTGTGGGGGCAGATCTATGACACATTCCATTCCTCTATGTGTTGAGAGTATTCACATAATGTGATGTCCTCTTTCTCCTGATTACTTTCCCACCTGTTATATGGCCACACTACCATATATAGAGTACACCATACATAATACTACCAGCATATTAATAATAATGTACACGTACATGCACATAAAAGCTGTATTATCCTTTGGTTAATATCAGTAGCATATCTCATACAGTTTATATAGCTAGTGTGCTAACTGCTAATGCTAAGGTTCAGGTATTGTATTACAAGTCAGACTATGTATAGTGTGACTGTCACTTGCATTCCATCACATGCCATCTCCTTTGGCTGTAATGACAATTAATATATTTACACTGTAGTGTCTCATGTCAGTGTGTAGCTAGTAGCTACAGGTACTCTAGATTGAATCATTATCTCCTTTTTAGTCTTTATCTGACTACTCTCATAACACTGCACCTGTTAGGTTAATCACTGATCTCTCTCTCTCTCTCTCTCTCTTTCCTTCTCTCTCTCTCCCTCCCCTAGGGTTGAAAGTTACTCTTGCAAGATGGCCGGCAATGACAAGAAGCTATACAAGCAGCTCTCATCACAAGATGGTGGCCAGTCCTCGTCATCAGTCCAGGCTCTCTCGCCTCCTCAAACCCTAATAATAGGCTCACCGGTCTATGGTAGCCCTAGTCTACTGCCTCCTGTGAGCCTTCCAACCATATTAATGAGATCAGTCAGTGGCTGTAGTACAGTTAGCTCAGATTCGTCTCAGCCTCAGCTTTGCGATACCATCTCTCACAAGACCTTATTCTATTTAAAGTCCACCCTTAACGCCTCCTTTTACCCTGACTATGATTTCTCTGATGCAAAGTCGGACGAGTTTAGTCGCGAGCTGTCGGTCCAGTGGGTAATGGACGCAGTAAGGTCTAACCTCTCTCCTGCTGTCTGTGATCGGTTTGCTAGTCTTGAGTCGCAACTGTGGGCAACCATTGATGAGGAGATAATCCTTAAAGACTGTGACATATACAGGTAAACACAATGCTCCTACAATACAAGTAATAATGCGTATGCTTTGTCGTTATTATTGTGTTGGTCACTCCATTATCGTACCTACATTAATCATTTTAAAAATAAATGTAAGTAATTTGTCGTAATGCAGTGCTAATTGTATTAAACCAGTCGTCATGTCTTTGTGCCTTAAAGATTGTGCTTGGGCTCTGTGTTTGTGTGTGTGTGTGTGTGTGTGTGTGTATGTATGTATGCCTGTGGTATTCCCCTGCATAGTTAGACGCCCTTACATATTGGGCTGTTTACTAACTTGGAGGTGTTGTCCCTCTCCATACAATGAGAGCTTGTACTAATAGAGTAGTTTGTACCAATATCGTATGTCAGTGTTTAATTTTATCGTATTAGCGTGCATATAGAAAATGAACTAGTAGTAGGAATGCATGTTTGTATGAGTAGAGGCAGGAAGCTGTTTCCTTTGAATTCATAAATACATTTCATTTATTAAACATATATTCTCCTTCTATAGCTATAATGCCGATCTTGAGTCAGATCCGTATGGCGTCGAGGGTAGCCTGTGGTCATTTAACTATTTCTTTTACAACAAGAAATTAAAGCGTATCCTTTTCTTTTCTTGTCATGCAACAAGGTAAATGTCATGTCAATATTCATGCATGTTAATATGTGTAATGTCTCATGATTGTTATGAATTATGATTATGATTCACTCTTTTCATTTTTAGTCCCAGTGCTGAAGACATGGAGCTGGAGGTCTGCTCACCAACTTTTGAAGATACAGACCTCCTTGACCCTTCAGATATTGAAGGTAGGTAGTTACAAAGGAGTTTGGTGATTAATGGGATATCTGTGATAATGTGTTATTACTATTGCACAACCAAAAAGGCTTGCCTTTAATGGCTATGAATAGTAACAGTGTCTATTAATAGAAGTGTGATGATGTAATAGTGATGACAATAACTGTGACGTGGCAATAACGACTCAGCATTTTTTTATGTCTTCTTTATCCTCCTAATAGACACTAACAACGGGACCACCTCCGCCTCTCAACTTCAAGAGCTCTTTTCTTATTAAAACAATCCCACCCTCACATCCTCTCTCTCTCTTCTTTCTTCCTTCTGTATATATTCAGAGCCGTGTGTGCTGTAGAGTGCTATTAGTATTACATCAGCCCCCCCAAAGAACATTTAACATTATGTAAATCTCCCTTCCATCCCTCCCTCTTTTTAAATGTTAACAACATTTTTTATATCATTTAGTTTCAAAACTAATAATAGTTATTATACAACAATAATAATAATAATAACAACAACAACAATAATAAGAACAAAAAGAAACGTTGACACAAATAACAATGACGAATAAAAATGACTCAGTGGACAAATAAATTCAAAATAGATTGTGCAAAGTGATACCTGATACACGGCTGCCATAGACAGCCAGGGAATATAAAAATACAACATTTTTTAAGGCAGAGAGAGGGTCACATAAGACGAAAGCAAATAACTTTAGCAAATACAAAATAGCCACTACTACAAATACTTAAATAATAATAATAATAATAATAATAATAATAATAATAATAATAATAATAATTTTCTATAACAATGTAATATTTGGTGGAATTGTCTCCTATCACTATTATAGGCGTCATGCTATTTGTAGGAATAAATAATTATTACAATACTTGTTACGTGCATGAGACAGGGAAGACAGAGGGAAAGACGGTAGAAAGAGGCATAAACGTTCAAAGGAGAAAAGGGTTATCATAATGGGTGAGTTTAAGCATCAAAGGACATAGAGAGACACAAAGACATACTTAATCGTGAAGAGAGAGAGGGAGGGATTACGCGTTCCCTCCCCTTTCGTACATCTGAGCCTTTCTCTTCCATCCCTCCTTTTCATGTTCTAGGCTCTTGACTTTGTCCTGGAGCTGAGCTATCTGCTTCTGGAGCTCGTCCCTCTCTTTCTCCAGTTGGTTCTTTTGTGAAACCCTCCGAACTCTCGAATTGTACGCATACCCACGGTTCTTCAGTGTCCGTCGCCTTTTCTTGAGCTGCTTTACGACATCTTCAGGTAAATCCCTGCATATCGTGTTAAGATCTCTAGCACTTAAACTGACCAACTGCTCCTCCGTTAGTTTTTGTATAGGTTCTTTCTCAAAGCCAGGGGGTAGGCGGAGCTGAAAAGTGTCGTTTGGGTCGTCATAGGAGCCCTCACTCTCGGGGCTGTATGGAGAAGCAATGGACTCCATTCCTGTCTGGATCTGGTACTCTGCCCCTACCGGCGGGAGTTGACTGCTTGCTACGCTCACAGCCTGAAAAGCCATTGAGCTCTGTGGAGTCAACCAGAAGTTGTTACTACCGGGGAAAGGGGGTCCTCCCGTGCTGCTACTGCTGGGCTCCAACCTGTCTATATGGTGATGGGCGCCGTGAGAAGAAGAAGACTCGTACAATCCTGCTGTTGATGGATAGAGACTACCTCCCCCGTGACCACCCGTCGGGGGCAAAATTCCTTTTCTTTCCCCCGGGACGCCCATGAGTGGGTCACCTCGAGTTTTGCAGTGAAAGTCCTGCTCACCACCAAACATGTATGGCTCTTCAAAAAGATCCAGGGACGAAATGATATCAGTTCCAGGGACTGGTACTTCTCTACTGTTAATATTGTAGTAAGGATGGTGACTCGCAAAGGGCGTATCTGCCATCGCAGTCACTCACCGGACTCAAGGAAAGAGAGAATTGGTTTCTTTTAGGCTTCTAGAATCACACACTGCAATAAATGAGTTGCCTTTAGTTTAAATAGGAGCAATAGTGGACTTGTAATGAGGCAAAAGACAGCTCAGCAGAGGTACAGCGTAGAAGCAATTGCTGCAGTCTCTTTGTCAACGTGGACAGACCTGTCATCTACGATCTTTTATACGAAGAGATCAAAGCCCGCGAACTCCCGCCACCGGCCGCAGATTTGAAGGTGTGGCTGCTCTGATGCAATTCGATTTCCTGCATTCCATTAGCTTGCGCAATTATAATCTATCTTGTCACATGACGGATGGTTGATTTATGGACAAAAGGAAGTGAGAAGTTTATATTCTGCATTCTCGTCGTTTCTCTTTGAAAATGTACGTGGCTATGCTAAAGCTTATTCCACATGAATATTGTTATTGTTAATTATTACTGGCTAATTTTATTGTGTGGATTGTGTATTTTTATGTACAATGGGCGGGTAGGGTCACTGGCGTGAGGCTTTTCATTATATGCACTTTGTTTATATAGTGGGTCGTTGTTTGAAGTCAGTCTCACCAAAGCATCCTTTATTAATTTTAATCCAAATCAAAAGGTATTAGCATCAACTTCATAACATATTCGATGGGTTAATGGAATGGGGTCAGATTTAGCTTAATTATTGCAATTTTGTTATTGCAATTTAAAAAACTTATTACATTTTATAGTTGATCATCATGTCAGGAGTCATTTCCACGTCACCCAGTAGTTCTTCATGGTGGCAGACCACTGAGGCAGCTGAGGATACCCGAGACTACGTTATATCAGCTGGTTTGCTGCTATATACTCCCGACGTCCTTCCAACTAATATATCCTGTGTCCTCACTCCTAGTCCATTCCCACGTCTTCTTTTCCATCACGCCATGAATATACAACCTGCCCTTAACCAGTTGATCGAGTCTCTAAGCAAGGACTCTGATTTTATTGCAGAAGCATTTAGAAAGTAAAAGAGAAAGGGGGGGTTATATTTTTCATTTTTTCAACTGTTGTTTTGTGTTGTTGCACTCTCCCATTGATTAGTTTATTCACAGTTTGACCCCAGTGGGCTACAGTGTGTATTGTTTTTTATAATTGTTTCTACTTTATTTAATTGTCATGTAATGAGATACATTATGTTCTTCTTCATAGGATTCTAAAGTCAGACGATTTTGTTAGACACCTAATGGACATTTATAATGAAGTAAAGGCGTCAGGTGATAAACAGGTCAGTGAATAACAATGATCTGTGAACAATAATAATTTGTTATTTTTTATTGGTAAATTATTTCTTTTTGCGGCTTCTTGTCTGTAGCAAGCTTCTGCAGGCCCAGGCCTATGAATATACTTTATTGTTTAAAGATATTCATGTGGGGGGAGCCCTGGGGAAATCCCCAGGGACATATTACGCATCTTCATTGATTAATAATGTGATTCCTGTATTTGGAATGTATGTGTTGCTTTGTGTGTGTGAACTTTGCTTCTGGGAAAGTAAATGGATTATTCATTGATTAATGCGTTGGTCTTTGGAAAAAGCTTAAGCATGCCATTACTGCTAATATTGATGTCTAGCTTCTATTTTTACACATTTACATGTACAGACACACACACACACACACACATACAAAGCATGTTTACAATTATCAAAATTCACATAACATTATGCTCCTGGGTAGTATTATCCACTTAATCACTTGTACATGTGCATCCATGCATGCAGCATGCTCCCCTGATGTAGGTGCTATTGTAACAATGTACTCTTGAGTTTTGATACTTTATATATACTCATCAGTTTGACACATAAGCAAGCATCAGTCATAGCTTAGCAAACAAAGTATGAGAGTCATGCACAGTGTTATATTGAAAGGAGTGGGAGATGGAAAGAGGGTATTCCATATTGCATATTGTTAGAGAGATAGCTGTTAGGCATGTGATTGCTAGCATGGCAAGGAAATGAGCCAAAGCAAATGAGTGGGAGAGAAAGGGGATACAAGAGGTGAACATGGACACCCTATCAGTATGGATGGGGGCACATTGTAGAACTACTCTTTTCACTCTGACATCAAACAAGGTTTATTTGTATAATACATGATGCTCCTTATTGTGATCCTAATCGCAGTTTGTTTGTTCGAGCCATTTTTAGACAATGTGAAGATCCAGCTGTTTCATGTGACCCTTTTGTAGTTTTTTGTGTTAGAGCTCGTGTTGGCTTGTTAGGGAACAGTGTCAGGATTAGGATGATGACCCTCTGTCACTTTCTGATTACAATTTCCAAAGAATAATCATAAAATTAATAGGCTGTTTTCGCATTTTAATAATAATTGCTATTGTTGTTGTTATTGTTTTTGTTATTATTATTATTATTATTATTATTATTATATTTGTAACTTTAGCCAAGTTAGTACTGTCTATACTAGGCCTCATCCATGAGTATATGCATGAACTAAAAATTCAATTATTATCATCATTAGTAGTAAAAATAAAAAATGTTTTCACACATTAATAATGATGTCATTATAATTTTTTGCTGTTTACTATATTCCATGGGATATTGCATATACAATGTACATGTACATGTTAATCATTACAATGCTATAGAGACTGACTGTTGATTTATTGACTTTTAAAATGGCATGTACACTATGCATATTAGCTATTGCACCATCTCGTGTACATATACATGTCTAACCTTCTATTAGTACCTTTTGTTCTGATGACTGTCTGTCATTCTCACTCTCCCTCCTCTCTCTCTCTCTCTCTCTCTCTCTCTCTCACTCTCCCTACTCTCTCTCTCTCTCTCTCTCTCTCTCTCTCTCTCACTCTCCCTCCTCTCTCTCTCTCTCACTCTCCCTCCTCTCTCTCTCTCTCTCTCTCTCTCTCTCTACTGTATACACATACACCCTTTTAAAATACTAATAAACTTGTACAAGATAATTACATTATGTCTTCCTAATTACAGTTTAAGCTCATATACTTATGCTCGGGATATGTATATAACTTTAACTTTTTGGCTTCTTTTAATGCCAAGACAAATGTTGTCATGACAACTTAAATGTGTGTATATAGTTGTGGCTTTGATCCCGCCTAGCCTTTGACCGGGGTTGCATTCTGTTGTTTAATTAAACTATAATGTGGTCTCTGGTTTTCACATATTATAGACAACCTGTCTGGGTTTTCACAGGACAGATTACCTCGTTGATGTTCAGAGGTCACATGATGGCCGGGTCTCCCTTGGACTCAAGATGGTGGAAATCAACACGATAGCTGCAGGTTTTGCAAGTCTTAGCTCTAAGATGGCCGACCTTCAAAAGTATAAACAATAATTAATGAACCTTTAACTGATTTTAAGCTATTTGCCATAAAAGGTATGTCACTAGCCGTTACACACCTGGCAGTGTCATTGAAGTAAGTCTGTTTGTGTGTAACTATATAATCTTCCTTCCTCTCACTAATCAGGCTGAGCCTAATGGATGCTTTGATGGTTTTGTTGATGCATTTGCGACAGCTTGGAAGGAATATGGACAGAGCAAGTTTGTTTTCCTTTCTTTAAGAGTCATGCTCTTTTTCTCTTCTCTCTCTCTCTCCTCTCTCTCTCAGTTCTGTTATTCTATTTGTTGTGAAGGAGAATGAAGCAAACAAGTTTGATCAAAGACAGATTGAGCACGGTTTATGGAAAAGGTCAGCCTTAAAGAAAAACAAACAATACTTACTTGTTTTTCTCCAAACATAAACAATAATGAGATACACGCGCATTCGCATACATACAAATGCACTAGTACTTGTACAGTCTATTTACTTTCACACAATATAAACTAATGCAAGGTATATGACATGCAGTCACATATTAATCAAACAATAGAATATTAGCATAGAACATTAGTATACACTGCTGCATCCTTTCAAATTTTTCACACAATATAAAAGCATATAGCCACTATTGGCATAAATCCATGCATCACTGTATATAGTGTACAATATTCATTATTCTTCTCTGCTCATTCCTAGTCATCATGATGATGCAGTCTTCTATTAAGCAGCTGCATAACACGTGTTTGTTATCTCTAAATGTTAAATTCACATGTACAAGTCATCGTGCTCCTTATAAGCAGGGCTGGGGCATGTGTGTATATTTCTCTAATGCAATAAAAGTTAAATCATTTTTAGTTTATGCCTCCATCTCTCTTAGATCACCATTGTGACATCACATGTGTATACAACCGAACGTGACTCTACTAATTAATGTGTGCTTTGTTGGAAAACACATTTATTGACAAAAGCACGATTAATTATGTATGTTGCATGTTGATTTGCATGTACATGTGCCCATGATGGCCTAGCTAGCATATCCCTCTCTTCTCTTTTTGTGTTCTTTGATTCCCCTTGACTTTATGACGGGCAGTTTTGTCTCCAGTAAGTGTCTGTGAAGTGTTTGTGTCTTGTTTGGTGACACCGTTAGAACAGGTGGCTCGTAGTACAAGGAACAGTAACAGTTAATGGGCTAACAGCAAATGTCCTTGTTTGACTGTCACCCTTTACCCTATCTTGAAGGAGGGGACGTATATTTAGGAATTATGCTAGAGGAAGAGAAGCATAATGACATAATATTAAATTAATTCGTATCAGTTTGCATATTCTCTCTCTCTTATTAGTTAATTTTGAATTCCCCCCCCCCCTCACCCCCCACCTCCTACTCATTCTGAATTAACCTATTTAGCATATGACAAATCTCTCTAAAATATATGTTAATAGTTATTATGAAATTGCTGTTGATGGTCTATTGGCTTAATATGGGGCTCTAATCTAAAGATGTTAATTAGCTAGCAGACAGTGATGATTATGTTCTATATATAGCTAGCTATTGAGGCACACACTAATAAACACACTGGGCACAGTCATGAATTGTTTTCCTTATGCATGTAGATATTCAATAAGAGTTATAAGGAGGACATTGACGGAGATAGGGAATACCATCAAACTGACTCCCGAAAGAGAAGCATTTATGTAAGATATGTACAAACAGCAAGCATTATTAGTCCTCTCTCTCTCCCTCTTTCTCCCTCCCTCCCTCTCTCCCTCTCTCCCTCCCTTCCTCCCTCCCTCTCTCTCCCTCTCTCTCTCCCTCTCTAGAGATGGTTATGAAATATCTGTTGTCTACTACAGAGCTGGTTATGGTCCCTCTTGTTATCATAGTGATATTGTAAGCAAATGCATCATGGGCACCCAAACTATGGAATAATGTACATATAAATATATCACATATTAATATTGTACATTTATATACACGTACTTAGGCGGAGCCAATTTGGGCGGAGCTCCGCCCTAACGTTTTATAGTGGAATGACACCTGCAAGACTCTATGGCTAGTTTATTGCCTTTTAGCTCACATGTTTATACAAGGTTTAAAGTTGTAGTGACCCACTACTAAAATTAGCTTACATAGTCTTTGTGGGCTTAATGGCCCATTGATAGTAATATAAACTTTTGTGGTGTTTAGGCGGGTTGAGTGAACCAATGAGGGCTGTCTCTCATTCCTGGTTGTTTTGTTATTTTTTTGAGGGAAATTGTTATGTCCGTGCATGCCTTTATGTATAAAGTATTGGTTGTACACAGGAATGGAATGGAAGGCGTCTTTTGGAACTCTCAAAAGCAAGTAACTGTCCATCTGCCGCCTACCAGTTGATAGGATTCAAGAAAGTACAGCAGATCCTTAGCGAAAAAGGGATTTTAGAAAAGTGGATATTTTGTGTGCTTTCATGCGTGTTCATTGTTAATTTAGATACATAAAGGAAGAGGGTGTTGTTTCTGATGTGAGGCAAACATTCACTGGTCAATACACACTAGAGCAGGTATGGTATCTACTAATAATAATATGTACATGTACTTTGTGCTGAGGATAATGTAATGTATTTATTTATTTATGTATGTATTAGTGTACCTACATGTACATGTATGTACATATATGCATTAATGTACATAAAGGAGTTTATCAAAGAGAGGGAGGAGGGTATTAAACACCTAATACATTATGTGTTGTGTACCACTTAGTACCTCATTGTGTGTTTGACTCTTCATCAATGAAGCAACCCTTTGTTAATGTAATTTATGCCTCCTTCACATCAAAGTACACTTCTCTCTCAGTAATGTAATATTATCAATAATTGACATGTATTATTGTTCTCTGTCTATCAACACTTTCACTATGGTATGTGTATGTGTATGACTTGTACCTTTCATCTGTTGGCTGATCTGTGTCCATTCCTGTCTCCTCTCTTTGTTTGCTTGTGTTTGTGTTGTGTTTGTCTGTTTTTCCTTTGAGTGTTTTTGTCTGTTGGTTTGTCAGTGTGTGTGTGTGTGTGTGTGTGTGTGTGTGTGTGTGTGTTAGTGGAATATTATAGAGGAAGCTTCTTGGTCATGTGTGCATTGTGTAATATTATTGGATCTATTATGTAACTTTTAGTTTTGGCACTTTCAATCATAGTACAGTGTATGTACCTGTCCAAAGCATAAACTTGTAGGTTATTTTGATTTAAACTAAACATTCCATGCATTTTTGAATTATAACAACTTAAAAGTAAGTCAATAGCAATGGACAATAATAATTTATGGCTTTGTCAAAAGAATTTGGAATTGTTTTTACTTAAGAACTTTGAGTTATGAGTTTTGGATCTTCTTTTTTTTAGAATCCTGAAGGAGATAAGGCAGTTGCCATGGCACTAGAAAATCCTCAGCGTTTTGTAATGAAACCACAAAGGGAAGGAGGAGGTAATTTATATATTATTATTATTTTATTATTTTATATAAGAATCTTGACAATCTTTCCTTTCAAGGCAACAACCTCTACAATGAAGAATTAAAAGAGACTCTCTCTAGGATTAGTTCGTCAGAGGAGAGAGAGCGCTACATTTTAATGGATTTTATAAATGCTCCGTCTTTTCCTAATTTTGTTTTAAAAAAAGGTGAAAAGTCCATCAAAAAAATGAGAGTCATCAGTGAACTGGGAATATATGGTGCTTATGTAAGGTGAGACAGAAGTCAATAAAATTAATTGTTTTATGGTTTAGAAAATTTATATACATGTACTTATGTTGCATAGCAAGTTTGAACTAATTCCAATCAAAATTAGATTTTTTACGAATTTTTAAAGTTACTCAAAAATTGGGCCAAAGCCTCTGTACAGTGTCTCGGGCCAAATTTTGGCAAAATTTACCAGGAGAGAATTTTCCATTTTAAGGATATTTTCTGATGCATATATATGTACTTATGTTGTGTAGCAAGTTTGAACTGATTCCGATCAAATTTAGATTTTTTACGAATTTTTAAAGTTACTCAAAAATCGGGCCAAAGTCCCTGTACTATGGTACAGTGTCTCGGGCCAAATTTTGGCAAAATTGACCAGGAGAGAATTTTCCATTTTAATGATATTTTCTGATGCATATATATGTACTTATGTTGTGTAGCAAGTTTGAACTGATTCCGATCAAATTTAGATTTTTTACGAATTTTTAAAGTTACTCAAAAATCAGGCCAAAGTCCCTGTACTATAGTACAGTGTCTCGGGCCAAATTTTGGCAAAATTGACCAGGAGAGAATTTTCCATTTTTATGATATTTTCTGATGCATATATATGTACTTATGTTGTGTAGCAAGTTTGAACTGATTCCGATCAAATTTAGATTTTTTACGAATTTTTAAAGTTACTCAAAAATCAGGCCAAAGTCCCTGTACTATAGTACAGTGTCTCGGGCCAAATTTTGGCAAAATTGACCAGGAGAGAATTTTCCATTTTTATGATATTTTCTGATGCATATATATGTACTTATGTTGTGTAGCAAGTTTGAACTGATTCCGATCAAATTTAGATTTTTTACGAATTTTTAAAGTTACTCAAAAATCGGGCCAAAGTCCCTGTACTATAGTACAGTGTCTCGGGCCAAATTTTGGCAAAATTGACCAGGAGAGAATTTTCCATTTTAAGGATATTTTCTGATGCATATATATGTACTTATGTTGTGTAGCAAGTTTGAGCTTGTTCCGATGAAAATTGAATTTTTTTAGAAATTTTAAAGTTGATTCCTATTAAAATTGGATTTTTTAAAAATTGCTGCACTATTAAAGTTGACTATTATACCATTGGCTATAGTACAGGGATTTTTTCATAAATGGCGAGGAAGAAATTCTATTTGTTTTTTATTACATTTTGTGATGGACATACAGA